GGCATATTCAGGAGAGGGAAAAAGGCTGTCCAAATCTAAAACTTCCAAATCACTGAAAACAATCATCTGTTTATTCTTATTGTTGCATGAAATTGTTCAACTCCCGATGGACAGTAGCCATCACTTCATGGGACGAGAATCGTGGTTTCAACCCATTAGACGTGGTCGGTAATTCTTCTACAGCAGTTGTAGTTGCAGCCACCTGAAACTGTGAATGCATAACCCATGAACTTAGAAGAGAAGATAGATAAAATAATTTGTAACTCTCCACAAAAGAGAATGAAAATGGTAAAGAACAATGTAATTAAAGTAGAAAAATAAAGTAAAAACTTGTGAATAAGTGAATCAAATCAAGAGCAAAAACACAGCTTTTCAATAACATTGCCAATCGAAAAGCATAAAGCAACACAATGGGTTATCTGTGCTGTGCCCACCATGTATCGAAACCCGGTTTCTAGTATTGTAAGTCTGCAGACATACTGCTGTGCCACTTGGAGGCCTGTTTATACTTAAATGTTGTTGTCCTAATGCCCTTTGAACTGTGATTAACTAATATTCTCACCACATAAGTTGTAAATCACTTGGTAAACATGTAGCTCACATTACCCTATCCAATTACATAACACACAGGCTACTCAAAAGTTGCTCACAAGCATATCCTGTGAAAATTTTTTTTTATTATTATTACTTAATTTACCTAATCAAACCTAAAGAGTTTCTAATTTTTACATTTTAGTTATCTTTATAATAATAAATAAAGAATACACAAGAAAACAAGAAATAAAGTTCTTACCAGGGCCTTTTTTTTTGGTGTCAACTGTCGATGAAACTTAACTATGTTTTTTAATACTAATGATACTACTGCACTAAATAATTTTCATTTCATTAAAAAATACACCAAATTATAATTTTCCTATATTGAAAATGCATTTCTGATAGATACTTACCTCCTCTCACAAGATTAGCTATTCTCGTTCAGTGCTGCCCTCCATATGCGAACTTTTTCTCTATTCATGTCACGAGCCTTCTGCTCCATCCCCCCCCCCCCCGCCTTGTTGGAATTACTATATTCCAACATATGTCTCATGTAAATCATCATGCGTCGTCTCTTAACCAATAGTAGCATGATATGCTCATGTGACTCCCTCTTCACTCCTCTACTGAACCTTTACCTCGAAGTTTGACAGAAGGTGTGAGCACAGGTGACCAAAAAAGGGGCAACTTGGGATTGAGTCCCATGGCAAACTCATCCAAGTAGAGAGAACCCCACTACTGGCAAAGCCCCCTGAAAACTATTGGATCTAATGCCCACTCTCTTGGATATATCTGGTCAGGGCGTGACAGACAGTCCACAACTAGACTGAAAGCACCCAGCACATGACATGCTATAAGGAAAATGTGATGTGCATAGGCCTAGTATAATAGATTCAACATAAAAAAACATAGATCTCTGGACCCTTGGTGGTTGATATGTGCCACCACCTTAGAATTGTCCAAATGAACCATCACTAGACAATGACGTGTGAGAAAAAGGAAGTGATGCAACACCCGACATACTGTTAGAAGTTCAAGAACATTTATATGCAAGATGGTTTCGTCCACATACAAATGGCTCAAAGCTTCCTGGTGTTTGACGCATTCTCCCATCCCTGAAAAGATGTAGACTCGGATGCGGGGGAGGAAGCAGCATGCCCACCGACATATGGACTTTGTACAGCCACCATTGCAGATTGTTTTGCAGGGAAGTAGGAAGGGAAATGGGGGTGGAAAGAGGCTCCCGAGCAAGGTTCCATTGTTCGTGAAGCACCCACTGAAGTGATTTCATACAGGTATGACCATGAGGGACCAGTGCAGTCATGGAGGACCACATCCCATAAAGCAATAGAACCTCACGAGCAGTAAGTGACTGACCCAAGAGGTCATGATGAACTGAAAGTTCCATTGAACAAAGATGTAAAGGAGAAAGCAGAGCGCAACAGATAGTCATGTAAAAAAAGACCCCCAAATAGACTAGATATTGAGTGGGTCAAAGGAATGACTTCTCCAAATTGATCAACCAGCCCATTCGAGCTGCCACAGACAGAAGTTGGTGAGTATGAGTGGCTGATTCCTGCTCAGAATAAGCCAGCCATCCATGTAATAATGGAGATGACGTGCAAAAGCCTGGACTATGTGATAAAACACATAATGAGCCGAGGCAAGTCCATAAGGGAGTGCCCAAAATTGGTAATCTACCCCGAGATGGACATACCAAATGCAAGGTCGAGACCAATGTGCTATCAGGATGTGGAAGTAAGCATTGGAGACATCGATTTTTGTCACCCAGAACCCTGGGGAAAATGCCCATCTCAAGGCGAGAAAAGATTCCTTGTTGAACTGGGGGACTGTGATGAAGCAGTTGAGGCGAGATAAATCTATGACCAGCCACCAATCCCCGGTTTTCTTGGGGACAACAAAAAGATGGGAGTAAAAAAATCCTAGAAGGATGGTGAAGCTGTTCGGTTGCCCACTGCAAAATCAATTCTCAAACTGCTTCGGGATAACGAATCCTTCTGACATAACCAACATTACCTATTGATCGTCAATGAAGGGACACCAGCGAGGAAGAAACTAATAGCTGAGCTCTCACCAGATCCGACCCCACAGGGTAGACACCAGTATGGGGGGCAAAGGGGTTTTGTCATTGAGGAAGTCAACAAGAAGTATCCCGATTAGAAGGAACAGGTGAGGGTTGGGAGAATGAAGGACGGGGAATAAGTGGCATATAAGGCTCTGGCCAAGACAAATGGGCTACAAAAGTCATAAGGGGTGATTGCTGGTGGACTGATGTACCCCGAGGCTCAATAGTGTCCATGACGTAATGTCTCAGAAAAGGTGCAAGACATAAGTCTCTGGGATATGTTGAGGGTAAATTGACCAGAGCCAAAACTGCATCCTGACCTATAAGGTCCCAACAACAAAGAAATCATGTATGTAACATCAGAGCTGGAGATGAAATGTAGGCCAAAGCAAATGAGAGTATCTGCATAAACCCCCTCACGATTTCTGCGGAGAGTCTCCTAAAGAAGATGTATGGAAGAAAGATACCGTTAAAGGTTGGTTAGGGTAAGATGTAGGTGAGAATATTGGGCATGGGTAAGATTAACATTTTATTCTGGAGCTGCCCCCCAAATAGGAAACAATGAACCTAATAACTCCTGATCTAAAAATGGATAGTGGACACAATGGTAAGAAAGGGTGAACTGATCAGAAGTCCTTGGGGGGCACATCATGCCGATCCCCTCACTTAATTGGAGACAAATTGACCCACATGTACCTGAATATCAGGGGAGAGAGGAAAAACCAAAAATGGTTGGGAAGTCTGTTCATGTAACAAGGAAGGATGAAGTGAATAAGAGATAGGGGAAAGGGATAAAACATCACAAACCTGAGACACAAAATTCGTAAATACTGAATTAGGCCTGGGTAATTCCTCAGGCTGCAAATGGGAAGGAACAGCAAACTCTGGGGGCAGGAAAAGACGATCAAAGTCCTCGTCATTCTGAACAAGTTCAGCCAACTCAGGAGGAGACTGGGCAATGTCTGGGAGCAAAAATTAACCCAAGCTCAATCTCCTGACATATAAAAGCCAAGAGATCCATCATCTGGTTGCCCGCACCCGAGGCCTGAGAAAAACACTGATTGCTGGTGTGACCCCCAAAGTGGTAATGTGAACTTCGGAATTCATAGCACAATAGAAGGTTTACAAAATTGGAGTGCAGTAATATAGCAACCACTTTGCATGAAAAGAGAAATTTGTTTGTCACACTGGAAACACTAGGCACACAAAAGAGTAAATCTTAACTCAAATGCTGCCAAACGAGAAGCATAGAGGGAGTCACATGCATCACGTGAGCAGATCATGCTATTATTGGTTAAGAGATAATGCATGATGATTTATATGAGAGACATGTTGGAATATAGTAATTTCTAACTATGTGACAAGAGCCATTAAAAATTCAGCTAAGTTCATCGATGTGTTTCCTATGGTAATAAAGGTTGAACTGGAAGTGAAATAGACAATTCTACATACAGAAAACAATGTAATATAACATGTCATTTAATAGATTAAAACTTAGGTATTCTATTGGTTGTAAATAATAATAAATAGCATTAAACATTAGAGAGATCTATCGGCAATTTCTGAAAGAGAGGATGTGACAGGTGGGTGTAGCAAGAGGGGATCTGTTTTCTATTTTATGGCTCTGTAACCAAATAAAGATTGAAGGCTATAAAAGTTATGCTCTGCCTGAGTGATGACATTACATGAATACATTACATTAAATTCTGTACTTCTCAGAGAGGTGGTAAATAAATTACATAAGAGGAGATAGCTAGAGAGCAAAAGTCACAATTCTCATATTAGGGAAAATTCAGGATGTTTTTTAATATTGCCTTATAAAAGTAAGTACTTAAAACTTTTATAATGTTAGAATCTGGATTATTAACTAAGTTTTTATGCCAAGTTTATTGATATATCACTGTAAAAAAGTAGTTTAATTAAATTTTGAATGTAACTCACTAAAACCTCATGATATGCACAGAAAAAGATGCCTGTAGTAAAAGAGTTAATTCATGCTTTAAAAAAATTAGTTTCCTTGATGGTGTTTAACTTTAGAATGATTAAATGCAAAGTTAACCTTATGTTCTCTTTTTAAAGTAAATAAAACTTAACTCATGCTTCAAAAAATTTAGTTACCTTAATATTTTTTAACTTTAGAATGATTACATGCAGGGTTAACTTTTTATTTTCTTGTCATAATAAATAAAACTTAACTTGAAAATCACTTTGGTAAATTCATTTTTTTTCACATTAAGAAATTAATAAAACAATAACATTTATAGTTTCAGTAAATTGCACATAAATATAAAACCCAATATGTTGTATCTAACTAATCAGCCATATTTGCATCTTATGAAACACAAGAACAATATAAAATAATGATGCTACATGTACTCACCTCATTAGGAATGTAAAGTACCCATCCTAGCTCACCTGTATGGGTAAGGTTCATAACCTTAATGCCACTGGCTAATCCTATATCCATTATCTAAAAGTGAAAACAAAAAATCCATTACTAAATACATATTACATAGAAAGCTCTGTCCTATTTATTTCTCATACTTGATAGTCCTAACAAACATTGGATAAAATATTGTAGAAAAGTGTTATACAGAGGGTTGAGTATGTTACACTAAAATTATTTTAAATATGCAGATCAGCAAGTCACATGATAACCATAATCCACATAAAATCATGGTGGAAGAGAATGTATCAGAACTACATTTTGACATGGAGTTTCTTAAGTAGTGTGATGCCAACAACAATCAGGAAGAATAAGCAACAGCTCTTTCCTATAAGATTCTAAAGATGTATGCAGGTCAGGTATTTAATATTTCCAAGATAAGGAAATCCCTTGTACTCAACACAACTGGAAAATAAAGGAATATGAATCAACTTGGTGCAAAAGATGTGGCAATTCACAACTACAAATGTCAGTGGCAAAAGCCACAAACATTACCTATGCAACATAATCAAGAAGGATCCCTCTCTTTTGACAAATGACATAAGCCACAAGTCCATAAGTTGTTTTTATGACATATTTGTAAGCAAATGAAACCAACAGGGTATGAGTTCACCAAGAAAAAGGTTTCAGTAGTACCTATCATTCAAGGTCACATACCTCAAACAGCTGGATAATGAAAGATATTCATACTATTCAATAGAAAGAAATACCTCTCAAGTCATTGATGAAGCACATATTAAGTTCTGTGCACTTGGTCTGTTAAAATTGGTGCTGAGAACCATCATCCTTGGACACAAATGAATAATGTAAAACAAACAGAGAGGTTTGGTTTGTTTTGAATTTAACACAAAGCTACACAAGAGCTATCTGCACTAGCTGTTCCTAATTAAGCAGTGTAAGACTAGAGGGAAGGCCGCTAGTCATCACCACTCACTGCCAACTCTTTTACCAATGAATAGTGGGAATGACTGTCAAATTTTAATGCCCCCACAGCTGAAAGGGCAAGCATGTTTGGTGGGACGAGGATTCGAAACCGCGATCCTCAGATTGTGAGTCCAAACAGGGAGGAGTGGTGTGCTTTGGGCATGATAGCCTTATATTAGACCCTTATGTAACAGACACTATGCTGCAGATCTATTGTTGAAATGTATGATCATCAGATAGAGCAGGAGCTGATGTGACAAAATGAACTGTAATAATGTTAAAACTCCAAAATCATCTTAATATAATGTACTCTCAACTGTATGTTTAATTTTCTTTCAAAAAAATAGCCTGATGAAATTAATCGAAAGAATTATAATTTAAGATTTTGAAAATGTTACATCAAGTTTTGTTTAAAAGCTTAAAAATAACTCGAGTTAGAAAATAATTTGCAAAATTGTCACAGTTATCTAATTTATGAGAGACATTAAGCAACATGCCTCTTCGTTTTGATGATATTTTTGTTCTAATTTTTGGTAAAACAAAGCTTTTGTTGCAAAAATAACTTCCATTATTTTTATTGATTTTTTGGCAAAATAGTGTTATAAGCCTTCAGACTTACCACTGAGTTGTTAAATTAATACCAACAAGACTTAGGAGACTTCTGGGTGTTACAAAATGAAATGTTTTATAAATTATGTTCTGGAACTTTTTCTTATTCTCAAAGATTTAACTTCAAATTAGGGCTGTAACAATTACTCACATAAACGAATCCACTTTCCCATGAAAATCAATTTCAAAATCATAAAATCTGTAATTGTTTCTATTCAGAAATAGAAATAATAATTTTGTTTGAGTACAAAAGTTTATCCCTAATCATACAAACAAACCTTTAAATGATTAAATATTCAATTATATTGAGTAATTACAGTAATTCTTAGATTGTGCCATTTCAAGGTCAATAACATTTATATATATATGTTCATTTTACTGCTCTGTCAAATGTCATTCTGTATTTAGGTCACAGACTTTACACTTGCACCAGTTAGGACTTGATTGACTTATTGTTTACAAAAAATAAAATAAAAATTCTTTGAGGAACATAGCGAGATATAGTGCAATCAACTTTTTTATTTTAAAAGACTGTGTAATCTGCATATATAATCTAATTTTTGAATAAAGTAAAAATAAATGAATAAAATATTAATTAAATAACATTTACAATGAGAATAGTAAATAGTAAAGAAAAATAAAAAAATTAAGGCACAGCAACTGTAATAAATAAATTGATTTATGACACCCATTTTAAAGGAAAACAATAAACAAATAAATAAATAAAAATAGAACAACATTTGTAGGTTGTCCACAAGAAGACAAAAGAATATGTCGTAGGACAAACTGTACAACAGCCCATGATAATTGGAATGTTTTCATTATTGAGCTATGAAATGAAATCTGCAATGTTAGAGAAAATGATCAAGAAATTGGCATTGATATGTGCCAAGGACATACATCCAATTAGTATAGTTTTGGTCTAGGGTTTCAAGGGCTTTGTTTATGCCTTAAACCCCAGTTTGTTGTAAAACTGTATCAAAGTATGTTGCCTTAGGATATGAGAACCTGAAGCAGTACACAAGTTACCAAATAAAGAAGTCAACTGCTACTGTACCAATAACAAACCTATGGACAAGTGTGTGTACAAATGATTACATCAGCCACGCAATTCACAATATTAATTCTGAATGGAAGCTAGAAAACAAACTGCTAGCCACACGCATCCAGGAGAACAGATACACAAGGGTGAACATTTCAAAATAAATGAGTGCTTTGGTGACTGAATTCCTTCTACCATAAGTCATTGTCCTTGTTGTAGACAATGCTGTTAACACATATGTGGCTTCATTCAATATATTACATGACAAATCCTTTCCCTTAAAATACAACTTGGCGTAAATAGGGTCTCAAGATCAAAAGTATTGCTAAAGCAATCAGATCTGCAATAAAGTTGGTTGGTCATTTATCACATTTTCCAATTGCCACTGCAGTTCTTAAAAAATGTCAGGCTAATGATAGAATAGCACATCTGTTAAATCTGATTCAGGATGTTCCACACTACTTCTTAAGATCTGAAATTATGTGTTTATCATGTTGCTATTCATAACTAAACTATAACGAAGACATCAGACAGAGCATCCATGAATCTGACTGACAACGAATGGAGCATACGGCAGTCATATGAACCTGTGCTTGAACTGCTTGGCAATGCTACAGCGATCTTGGCTATTGGCTAAAGAGGACACCCCCCCACTTCAAGTAATACTTTCACGCTTTTACATAACTTAACGAAGAAAGACCTGGTTTCATCAAATCTTGACTCTAAGATTAATGCCTGCTTTAAGAACACAACAGGTTTTATTAAGTGCTTTCCTGGTAAACGTACCTTTTCCATGAGCAGTTGACTTGCTTCTCTGATAATGTTGTCAAATTTATTGAACAAATGAATAATTGTATCAAGCAAGAATATTTGCATCAAGTGAGTACTGAGACAGATATCAACACTAAATCAAGAGCACATCCATGTAGACATTGTAGCTATCTTGATCATTGTATGCCCTCTAAGTATTGCAAAAAGACGTTTTTAGTAATTAGTAGACCAGTCTTTACACCTCACCAGTTTCATGCCACTTCTGAACATGTAACTACTTTCTACCAATAGTACTGTGCCACCTATTATGGTGCAGCTAGCTCCCTCTGCTATTTCCACTCAATCCTCACTTTCTCAATTGGCATGACACAGATCAGACATATGTTGCTACAGTTTTTGATTGTGCTTTGTTGTCGTTTCTGACGAAGTTTATTCAACAATTTCTAATTTTTGTGTTTTATTTCATTTGTTTCTACGTATTTGCATTCAAAATATTCTCATTCCTGAATTCTATGTGTTTTAATATGAATTAGAGGTTTTTTTGTGGCAGACAATGATGTTACCATGACAGGCAACAATGCACATGGCATGAATTACCAGGACACAGAGTCGACTTTATCTTCTGAGGATGTACATGCCTCGGATCACTGGGAGTTTCAGTCTCATGTGCAGCTGACATTTTCTTCTTCTTTTCACTGCGACACTGTTTCTGAGGAAGAAGACACTCACTGAGTTGCCACTTTGGTCTCCTTTTTCAGGCACCTTCCCCCAATTGCCAGCTGCCATGTCTTTCAATTGAGGGAAGACTTGTTCTTTTCCTCCTTTCTTCCTCTGGCTTCAAGTTCTTCCAAGAGATTTGTTATGTTTTCAACATGTACACTTCACACCAGGTTGATATACCAGTGGTCTGCCCAGTTCCAATGCCCTTCTTTACACGTGGGAAACTTATGTATTTCATGTCATCAGTACTCGGACTTCAGAAAGTTAGATATTTAGGTGTACTTTGTTATCTACGTTACTTTAGTTTAACTGTATGTTAGATATTGATTATTACTTTGTAATTTCCATAAATTTAATCATTATTCATGTTCATTAATTTTACGTATATTTTTTAGTTCATTATTAATAAGTATTTTCCCTAGGTATGGTTTGATTGTGTGTTACATATCTTAACTACTTGTAACATCTAATTCACTGTTCTGTTTGTGTAACTGTTTTTCTCGTCATTGTTTACTATGTCCCTTCTCATCCCCATTTTTCATTAGTGTGTGACTTACTTCAGTGTCCTTTGTTGTTTAAGATATTTTCAATATATGATAAATTAGTTATTGCTCATTCAGGTGTTTAAGAGATAATTTTCATTGGTTTGCTTATTCCTTTTCATTACATACTTTGTGGACTGGGTACATTTAGATAGTATGTCTATTTCATATACAAGTACTTTGTTAATTGAGTATTTTGGTGAGTTTGTACCTTCCATATCTTTACTGTTACTAACAAATAATTCTTTGTGCTATTTCAATAAATTTTTCGTTGTTGTTAAGCATGTACCTTCTCCTAATTTCAGTTCGTGTGGGACTTAATTCTGTGTTGTCTTCTGGGTAACTTTCTCTGTCTGGTACCTCAGATATTGATTAGTATTGTGTTTTCTCAATATATTCTGTCAGTTGGCACACTCATTATTTTTAAATTCTTTGTGGACTAGAAAAATTTGGTTACTTTGCCCATTTGGTGTTTGTCAGTCCTTTGTATATTGGGTATGTTTCGATAATTGTTACGTTACATATCATTATTACTAGTGATATCTATTCATTGTTCTTCTGAATATTTTTCATGAGTGTTCAATTATGCCATCCCTCCCAAATTTTTGTCAGTGTGGGACTTAAAAGTTTGCTTTATTACTTCACTGATGCGTTTGTTTCTTTCCCGTTCATACGGCTGAGCTTAGCTTTGGTTCCTTTTCCTATGTTCATGATCCTAGATGGCTTTTTATGTATTTTGTTGGGGAATACAAACTTTTGTCCAACTTTTTCATTCTACGAGTCTTACATTCTTCATTTTCTGGTTTGACTGGCTCCTGCTTGCTTCTTACCAATCTCAATCCAGAGTCTACACTCCTCTGCCCCTACAAGATGCAGAATGGGTTGGTTTCCTTATGACAAGAGGGAATCCATTCTGGCCCCATCTCAATACCTCCTTAATTTGTGGAGGTTCTTCTTTCCAACATCAGTTGGGCCCAGCCTTCTCTCTGTTTTCGGGTTTTGAGCAAGTAGTTCACACGTCCCTCACATTTCTTACGGCTCAATATCTTCTATCTCTTTGGGGATATGGACTTCCTTGGAAGTTCTCATTCTCATGGGTCAGATTCATATGCATTCCCTTCAGTAAACACTCCTTAATAAGTGGAACTTCTCGGATCCCTGGCTTGGTGGTTGAACAGAGTCCAAACTGTGGCAAGGATGCTGCTTACTTCCACCTCATCCAGACTTACGTTTGTTCCCATACTTCTCTTTAGGAGGTTGAGGTTCTTCCATCGACTCCCTGGAGATTTCTTGTCTCTAGTTAATCAACAAGTCTTTCTCCATATCACCTTTCTTGAGCCTTTGGTGGTTCATTAAGCCTTATCCAACCTCCTTCCTCTCCTATGGGGGTGGTGTTTATGGTACACTCTCACCTCTCCACTGTGGTCACTTACATCTCTAAGTCAGGGGGTACCGATTCCTAGTCTCTGTGCTTTTGGATCCTGAGCCCACTGTCATCTCATTGTGGTCTTCACTTGCCTTTTTCCTGGCTCCTTCCACCTAGTGGTGGTTCAATTATTATCCAACAAGATTCTCATCACTAAGTGTTTCCTCGTTCCACAGATATTGCCATTCTCTATCTACACGCATGGTTTTGTCTTGTCCCACGGTCTGACTCCGCATTTTGCATCCTTCTTTCCTGATCCATGAGACCTTCTTCCATGTTTGTTTCCCACTGATGTTAGTATACCTCCGACTTTGGTCTCTTGAGCGTGGTTTCTGTCCTTACCACCCTTCTTTCCTCTCTTTCGCTGTTCTTCACCCAGTAGTTTGTTAAAGGCTTGTCCACTTCGAACGTATCCAACTCTTAAGCAGCCTTGTCTATCTCCTTCCGTTTCTTCTGGGGTTGGTCTTCACCTGTCATTTCCCTCCTTTCTGTTTCTTTGCTTGGTTATAAGGATCTCAATGTGGTCCTTTATACTATTTCTCGTCCTACATTCAGCCTTTGTCTGAATGTTCCATCTAAATTACCTCCCTCACGACCTAATTCCTTCTCCTCCTTGCTTGTGGTTGTTGCCGTTCAGATTTTTATACCATTCATGTTACCCACATCCTTACTTCTACTCCTTTGTCATCCTCTACCCAAACGTTCCTCCCTAGGCCTTGTGCTACCATTAGTTGTGTTCTGACTTTCATGCTACCAGTGGTTGTGTTCTGATTTTCACACCCATTTCCTTACCTTCCTTTTCCCACCTGTACATCCATTCCGATCCAGATAGGTTTCTTTCTCCGGTTCATTCATTCAGGTGTTATGTGACATGTTCTGCCTCATTTTGGGGCTCATGTTCCTGACTCCTTATTTTCTGGAACCCTCTCATTCAGCTGGCTTATTCAGGCTTGTCGGTGGAAGGTTGCCATCTCCACAAACTATCTTCAGATCAAATTTGTCACATTACTATCTTTTGCTGCTCACCTTCGCTGTCCTTAGAAGGAGATTATTTAGCTGGAATATGAACTAATTCCAATACCTTTGTCACTCATAATATGCTAGATTAAGCTGTGTTTTCCTCCCATAGCGATTCTACACGTATCCCTTTGCCTTTGCCTGGGGTAAGTCTTATTGCTTCCTTTCATCTATGTTTTCTTTTCAGCTTCTATAATCTTCTCAATAATTCTGGTTGCAGAAGGTTCTTTCCTGCTTATACGGCTGGATTCAAGAGACTTCATCTGCCTCGTGATACTGACAATGGGACGTCTGCTTGTCCTCCTCATAATTCCAGATACAGGATGTCTGTCATTTACGGTTGAGTGAGTTATGATTTTGCCCGTATAAAGGTTACAGTTGAGTCGAGGCAATGCCAAGACCTCTTAGTACTGGATTTGGTTTGTCCTACTTCTTGCTCCCATGGTGGTTTTGGGATTTTGTCTGATAACAGCTGTTGCTATCTTCCTATTCGTATTTCTAGTTGCTTGATGTATGCCACTCTGTTTACTAACGGTTGGTGTTATTGGGTATTGATAATATGGTCCACGTGCCCTAGCCACTTGTTGTTATAACTTTGTTTTTTTGTTATATGTTGCTATAGCTTGCATCTTCTTAACATTTTTACAATCGTACAAGCACTACCTTTTCCACCCATTTTAGGTTCCTTTCCTCATTTCTGGGTGAAGAGTATACCTGTTTCAGGAGAGGTGGTACCCCACAGGTATGCTTCATTCTGGGCAGTTGCTTTCCGCTTGGTTTGTTCTTTGTGCGCCTACACTGGCCCTCCACCTTTGCAATGTGGGACTCTAGCTTTTGTGTGAGAGGAGGTAAGTGTTTCAGAAGTTAACATTTTCTTAAACTGAAAATGTATTTCCAACAGAATTGGATTAAATGAAAAATAATCTATAGAACCCAGTGTTTTTTGTGATAAATTAATAATCAAGCAAGGCTAAACTTACAACTTGTTTTACTCATTGATCAAGAATGTAAGAGAAAAAAATCTGACTTTTTGACGTTATTATTGTTACAAACATACATTAACCCAAAATGTTGTTGCAATTTCAACTATTTTGACTGAGGTATGAAACCTTTGACATAAATTTTATGAAAGCCTCAATGTTAATAGGTACCCATTTAACAAAGATGTTACTTATCTTTGATAACACATTCTATAATTATATGACATACTTTAAAAGATTTATGGAAACAAAGATAACACTTATGTCTCCACTTGTTTTAGATAACCTTAGCTTTTTGTTACCTTGCATGTAAAAAAAGGAAAATCTCTGGAAGTCATGGATGAGTCAGTCAGCTCAGTCATTAAATCTCTTGCTCTTGGGCCCATTACACAGATAGCTGTGTACATAGAAGTAACATCAGCAACTACAACAGGACTGTCCATGGGTAGATGGCGTTTAATCCAAGTCTGACAACGCATCTGTTGGTCAGTTGGTCCAATAAGCATGTAGCTAAAGAAAATTTAAATATAAACAATTTAAATAATTTATCTTATAAATTTATTCCAAATACACACATCCTTAAGTTAACAAATAGTGCTGATATAGGTTTGATGTACTTGTACCATTTTCTAATACTTTTTTTGCATAATTTATTAGCATTTCAAGTACATTTACTACCCTTTGAGAATATGGATATTTATACTATTTGGCCTTATGGTTTTGTTACACACAAACACTCTTGGAGTTGGTTACATGTGTTTATAAAATTAGTATAAAAAAATGTATGCATTTTCATTATATAATCTACTAGTCACATTTGATCTTCATACACAGTTATAAGCCTTGTATGTTAACTGCGAGACTGTACATACAAATCTTGAAAAAAAAAAACTACATTAAGCTGAAAGCAGTTTATACAGCAAATGATATGACTATATAGCAGAAAAGTGGATTCTGAGAGTTAGATATTAAGTAAAATATTTTCTTTTAATAGCAGTTTACATAACAACTTTGCTCTTTGATTAATCTGTGAAAACAGCTAAATAATTCCTGAAAAAAACTAGAGGAGGTCTGTCCAGATCACCAACCAAAAGTCTAGATCAGAGTCTGTATTCAGATCTCATTGAAATACATACAAAAAGTGGATTTTTTTTACATCAATTTCAGGTTAACTCTGGGACTGACCTCATAACCATTTTGTACTTGTTATAGTTTTCACGCTATAACTTTTAAAATAGTAAGAGAATGTTAACAAAATTTGGCACATTATCAGTAAACATTACAATGCTTTCATAGGCAAAATATCAATTTTTTTTTATTAAGTCTTAAGGTTTGCAAAGCATTTGATTTATTACATGACCAATATGTTAGCAAATTGAAAAGATAAAACGCTCTTTTTTCATATTCTAGCTTGTCAATATTGGTAATTTGAGTTTCTAATTTGTTTGAAACTGTAGACTTACTATTTTGACATCACAAACATCTAATTTGAACCAGTGCTGCATTCAACATGTACAAAAAATGTACAGAAATGCTAGGAGAATTACAGATCACTCTGTCAAAAGGATTTAGTCCAGATGAAATAGCTAATGTATTACCAATTTCAAAGTTCCCAGAACATGAAAAGTCAACAATTGAATGTTGTTGTTGAGAACTTAAAACTGGAACTCTAGAACAAGAAAGCAGATGTCCTGAGAGTGAATTCTTCCCTATCAGTTGATGTACAAGACAACAGTGAATTTGCTGAAATAGATCAAAACAGGATGTTCAGCTGTAACAAAAGGTGAATGCAGGTTCATTGGACTGCCCACATTTTAATGACACTGATACAGAAAGACTGTTCCACTGGAGTTCAGACATTAAAAATAGGGAAGATATCTAGAACTGTGCCCCACCTAGTTAGAGATATTTGTGGACAGATGCAAGTCCAGGGTAAGGTGGAGAAGATGGATGTTCAGAATTATTTGAACAACCACAACAGTGAGAGATTGAGTGATGGAGGGACACAAGAGAAATCTGTGGATCACAGATTATATTTTAGTTATCTGCCAGAATCCTCTGATAAAAAAAGTGAAAGACCCCAAAAGAGACTGAATCTCAGGCATAGTAAGAAAAAAAAAATCATGAGAACCTTTGAAACCAGAAGTTCCATACCTTGGAAATGTAAATGAGAAGGTTGAGACCATACAGCATATGAAGTGACACAGACTCCCAAATGAATCAGATACTGGAAGGAAGCCAATACTGACTTAGGAGCCTGACCAGTCAACTTAAATGAAAAGACTCCCAAAGGATAAGGGAAGATGCAGCAGGTGTTGCCCTCTAAAACAGGGCTAGGAGTATCCAAGTCTTCACATAATGAAGGAAATGTAAAGGCACTAAGTCCATTCTCAGTGTGAATGCCCTAAATGAGGAAGTCTAATTCCAAAAAAACAAGGCACCCAAATGAAGCAATTTCCAGAATCAAAGAGAGCAACTGAACTGAACAATAGCTAAAGAAGAATTTGAGGCAGCATGAAGAAAAAGTTAGTGCAATCTTCTCCAATAAAGTTGCCAGGGTAGAGATGCTGAGCCTCAGAAGGTAAAAAGGATTGCAAGCTAAGAAGATGAGTGGACAAAAGACAAAGATGAGATTAAAAGGAAGTCAAAATATGAGAAGAAGAAACTCTTCAAGCTGGGAGAAGAGATTCAAAGGATAGGAGCACCAGAAAAAGAGTAAAAATTCCAACCAAAGGCCACAAAGAACGAGCCTTAATTTCAGTGAGGATGAGGCAACTTAGAGTCAACATGAAGCATAAACTGAAAGATTCTACAATAATGAGACAATTATGAAAGGGAGAAAGAGCGACAAAATCTTATGAGGTGAATTGCATGCAAGAAGCTCACTTGAAAACCAGCATAAACAATTGGAGTGAAAGAACAAATGCCACATACCTTGAGTTACCAAAGCAGCAAAGATGGACGTTACCATATCTTTGTCTGAAGTAGAAGAACCAGAAGCAATGGCAGGTTGTGGGAAGAGCTGGTCAAGAATGTCCAATGGTATGGCAGGCTAAGCAAAAGGCCATGAGCACTGGGTCCAAGATTAAGAATGTAGGATGGAACCAACCATGATGGAAAACATTGCTCACTATTAGAGTAACTCCATTATCCATTTAAATAAAATATGACAACTCTTACAGAAGAGAGCCTAGACATGAAATTTTAGCAGTGGCGGAAGGTAATAACTATTTGTTCTGTGGAGAGGTTAGTTGTGTTTTTGAACATTTGATTATACTAAAGTTTTATTATGACTTCAAACACATTTTAAATTTGAAAATGTACATCAAATTTATGTAATTTTTTTTACATTGTAGTGCCAAAAACAATAGTCTTAGTCTGACTACATATGTTCCAAGTTTTTAATATCAATATATTTCAAAACTCTTCTTGGATAATATTTTAATATGACTGAATGTCTTTTCAGTAGTAAATACACTTTATTCATAGAAAACGACTTTTTTTTTGTTGCCCTATAACATCTTACTTTTTATACACAAGGAGATATTAAAAGTTCTGCATTACAACAATAACTGACACCTGTCAAACCTGAAAGAACACATAATCAGGATGCAAAATATAACTCTCAAATATACATTCACTTTGGGTATTTATCTCATACCATTCATATTCTCAAGGAAATTGTTACACTACTGAAGAGATTTGAACTACTTTAGGCTCATCTAAACTTCTAGATGTAAAAGTTTTATAACTTTTGCTGTTAATGTTTAAAGAAAATGATTAGCAAAAAGAAGTTAGAATAAATATGTTGGATTACGTGATCTTTCAATATCTTATAATATTCTAAATCCAACAAATATTTTCTTCTTATTTCCAGTTTTATTGTTAAAGTTCAATATATATATATGTAGGTATACTGGAAATTTATTACTTTTTTTATGCTGTGAAAATTAAACCTGACAAGGAAAATATCATAAACTACATTTATAAATTATAAAACCAAGTTAAGTCATATATTGGTTAATCTCTTATATAGATAAAACTCATAGACAGACTGCCTTCTTCATTATTGTGTACATAAAATGATCCACCAGTGTTTTGGCTAAGTATACCAACTTGTTATTATTTCATCTGCCTGAGTGGGCAAGAGATAAGAACTGTCTGCAATTCTGATAAGCAACTGATCTTTTTAATAAAATTTTAAAATATTCTCATAACTGAAGCAATAATTTTGTTTTCCATTTTTATTAAATCAACAACAAACTTACAAGTTTTCTTCTAGCTTCAACAAACTACAGTCATTTTCATAACTATCCCACTTGTTCTCAAAAACAGAATTAAACGAACATCAAACTTACAAGTTTTCTCCTAATCGTACCAAACTACAATCATTTTCATAACCACCCCACTTGTTCTGCATTCCTGTATGTGTGATGCACCCAATAGGAATGTCAACATCATTTGAACACAGATATTGGAGTAAATTGACAACTTCACAGCCTGGAGACTTGGGAAAAAGAACAGTTATGTAGAAAACTTGTAAATAATTATACTAATACAAATAAAACTCTTCATAAACACGAAAATTAAAAAAAATAGTCAGATGAGAATAAATTGTTATTGAAAAAAAAAAGAAAACTGACTAAAGAAATGGGACACCAAACAAAACCTCATGATTTTTCAACAAATTTACACTTCAAAGAAGAATTGTTCACAAAGAAATAACTCATTACCCATAAGTTACAACACTTTAAAAGTAAAATTACATAAAATATTAAAGAAGGCTACTACTATATTGTTTATTTGATAATGAAAAAACATTCAGTGAAGTTGGGATTCTTAAAGACATGTAACATGTACTTAATTTTGTAAAAAAATAAAGCCTGTAACAAGAAATAATTTTACAACAATACACATATAAACGTTTCATAAGAGATATGATCAGTTATATATATATATATTAATAATAACTTCTGCTCAAAGCAAAATACTTACAAAAACTACAACTAAAAATATATACTTACTAAAGAGCATAGCTATTAAAAGATAATGTTCAAATTACTATACTACTTGTATGGATTAACTCTCTCACTACATACCCGGTTGAATCAGCCAAATTCGTGACCCCAAACTGACTTTTATAGTTTTAATACTATACCTTCTCACATGTTCTGTGTATCTTCACGAAATTTGGAAAGATTTCAATAAGCATTAATAGTCTTTTGTCTTAAAAAAACAGAATTTTTAATAAAGTATTTTCTCCATAAATATATGGAGTCAATGTATTGACTGCTCAAAGTGCAAAGCGATTTTCATGGCAAGATAAAAAATACTTTTCTTCATATGAAAATTGTAAAATTTTATTTGCATAATCTCTAAAACTTCTTAAATGCATTTCAAACGTTTTTCTTTCAGTAAAACTTTAAATTTTATCAGTTATTTTCTCTATACAGGGTCAGTCACTTTGACCAAACTTCTAATTATCATAAAAAAAAAGTAATAAATCTAAATTACCCTTTTTTCTTTCTAGAACGACTTGTAAACTGTGTAACACAAAACTACCTTTACTTATCTTGAACATCTTCAATATCATAACAGTATACATCTATTTCTACTTAAACTATTGTTTTATTACTCTTGTAATGCCTAACTAATAATAACACCACATGAGTTATAAATCACCTGCCAAATGTGTGGCTCACATTACCCTATCGAATTACATAAGGCACGGGCTACTTTTTTTATTATTTATTATTTTTTTCTTTATCTTACCCATTCTAACCCTAGCTAACATAATAAATTTCTAATTTTCAAATTTTAGTTACTTTTATAATAATAAATAAAGAATACATATGAAAAATAAGAAATATAATACTTACTTGGACCCCCCCCCTTTTTTTTTCGCTATCGACTGTTGATAAAACTTAACCCTACTTTTTTACACTAATGGTACTACTACTTTAATAATTTTTATTTAATTAAATAATGCACCTAATAGCACATAATAATAACATTTAAAAAGCAGAAAACATCCAATAACTATCATAATTTTTCTGGGTTTTTTAACAGTGCAATAAGAGCTGTTAAAAATTTAGCTAAGATTGTCGATGTTTCCAGTGGAATAAAGTTTGGGCGGGAAGTGAAATAGACAATTCTATGTACAGAAAACAATATAATATAATACATCATTTGATAGATTAAAACTCTGGCATTCTATACGTTATAAATAATAAATATTAAAAAGAAGCTGTTGGCAATTTGTGAAAAGCAGGATATGAGAAGTGGGTGTGGCAAGAGGGGTCTGATTTTCTAT